TTTGAGAGTTTGGATGGGGGAAATAGATTAAGTGAGACAATGAAATCATTCGCCTCCTTAGCTCAAGCTTGTAGAACAGATTATATCAAAGAAAAACTACTAGGCTCAACAAAATCATCTGGAATTACTCACCTTGTTCCAGTTACTGTCAACAAAAAAAAAAGCAAACAGTGGAAAGCTCAATGTCAAACAAGGAATTGATATTGATAATCCAATCATTGATTGAGTCATTGAATGAAACAAATTGCCCACAGTTCAAAGGATTAGCAATGAAAAAGAAAGATGAATTATTGTTGATTTTGCAGCAAGTTAAAGACCTTCACAAAGAAATAGAAGAGATTATTTAACCACACATATTAAATACAATTCTCATTCTTGTCAACCCAGAGACTTGGATCCACTTTCTCTTTCTCTCTTTCTCACTCACTTACACACACACACTCTCTCTCTCTCAGAGAGAAATAAATTTGTATTTTGTTTTCATAAATCAAAAGGATACAAGTACAATTATATTGTTTGGTCATTAATAAAGAAATGATAAATTTTTTTCTTTAAATCAAAATTATTCTATTGGCTGTAAAATCACATGATTCATTCCGTAGATAATCTATCAAATTTCTAGAACGTTGATCATTACAGTATTTAGAAATTCCATATTTGGAAATCTCCCTGACTGCATTACATTGGTGACGACTAAATTTTGGACCCTGAAATTTTTGGTAGTACGAACGCTCACTATCAGATTACTATTATAATTACTATTTTTTTTTACAATACTTGGTGTGTTTATTGGTAACATTACTACTACAATTAAATTTTTTTTCGGAATATCTATCAATCTCATCCAAATTTTTATTAATATTAATGTTTGAGTTATCGCGTTTTCGTATTCTAAGCATTGCATTAAAAAGTAATCTCTGCTGTAATGAGTTAGCTCACCATTAATATTGAACATCTGATGAAAGAACACTTTCAAAGAATACTCCTTTTTTTACTTCCTCCCGTAAATTATTTATTTTTTTAGTATTAGTATGAGTTTGAGAACTAACAATATTTAGATCATATTTAAAGATGATATATATATAATTATATATTGATTGGATTTTGATGATGATATATCTAGGCTTAGAGGGTTACAAATATAATAATCATAATTGTCATATCTGATTGCATAAATTTTTTGAAGTGAATATGGAAAAAATAAATGAAAAAAAAAATTTATTTATTATAAATAAACAAATAAAAGGAAAATTTTTCAAAAAAAAAAAAAAAAAAATTTTTTTTATTTTTTAAAATGTCAACTTGCAAAAATTTAAGAAAATTTAGGAAAACATTAGCGTAAGTATTGTCAGAGGGTATGGCTTTTTTTTAAATAGCTATTCTAGTTAAATTTAATAAATTTTATTTTTTTTATTAGTACAAATAAAAATGTGAATGAGACTGCTGCTGCTGCTGCTGCTGCTGGTGATTATAATCATATTATTAGTGATTTTTTTATACTTTTGTATTTATTGAATATTAATTGTCTTAAAAATACTCAATTTAAAAGTTAAAACAATAAAAAATCAAGTTATATTCGCAGAGGATATCTTTAATTTATCTATTTTTAACATTGGACACGAGCTCGGTAAAGGACAATATAGGCATGATTGTCTTCCAAGAGAAAAAACCAGTAAATATATAATTGCATTGAAGATGGGAAATGTTGAATTAAAATTACAAGGAAATCTAAGGTAATAGATGGATATACATACTAATTATATGCATATTGATTGATGTTCGCATAAAAATATATATATTAATGATATTATCTATCGTCCATTCTAAAATTAGAGTTGGCAAAGATGATTTCATTTGACATTGTTGAATAAAGTTGTCAACTATGTTATTTCCAGATGTCCAAGTGTTGAAAAGACTCTGTAATTGTAAACTAATACACTTTCACAGAATCTATCAGAGTGTCTTGTCGATTTACACTTGGTACATTCTTTTGGTTTTCCCAATTTATCTCTTTACATTTTTTTACGTTATGTAATTCAATATCATAGACATTCTTTTGGTTTTCCCAATTTATCTCTTTACATTTTTTTTACGTTATGTAATTCAATATCATAAATAAACATTTCTTTACAAAATTGTTTTCAGTTTCAGAAAACACTTTATCAAAATCAACCAAAGCATTATTGTACATTTCATTATACAAATTCCTTGATTTCTGGCGATTGTGATTATAAAATGACATTTTGACTTTACTAAATTTATTTGGAAATAGATGATGTTTTTTCATGGCTCTACGAATTAGCAAAATTGTTGATTAATCATCCATCTTTCCCCTTTATAATTCATAGACGTATCAGACATTTTTATTTTGTCTTTGACTTTTTTTATTGGGATTCTGCAGATTCGAAATCTAAAAGCTCCAAGAAAATAATAATTATGAACACTATAATAATTAATACATAAAAATATGTTGTAGTACTAAAATACATTTAGGAATTTGAAGGGAATATATATATATCATTGAACTATCTTTTTCTTCGAGCCAAGGTTGTTTGCAAGAATCAAGTTAATTTTAAACACCTATTCACTCGGAAGGAAGAGAAGATTGTTAGGATATAGTAGTTATACTTCAAAGAGTGGAGACTTTGTGACCTCAAGTGCGCCATCTACGGCTAACAAGAGCTGCAATATTCTTGGGGTTTAAAGAACCAGTTTATAATTGGTACTTTTCCTATGGCGGATTAGAGTCGGCAGTATGTATCCTATGTATGTTACAAACAAAAATTGTATGTTGTTATTTAGTATTAATCTATCAAAAAATAATAGCATCAATGTGTTGGATCCTATTCTCATCAGAGTGAAGTTATACCACAAATAATGTTTTCACAAGCATTATTCGTTATACAAAATAAGAGAATTAATGAAAAATCAACAATCACAAATGCGGCTTTAACAATAATAGTAAAGGAAAAAGAAAAATGTCTGGTCAAAATATTTTTTCTGCTGGAACAAGAATTAAAACCGTAAAAAATTTAATTCAAAATATTATTATAATTTAGTTTTAAGAAATAAAATAAACAGAATGAAAGATGAAAAGATAGAATAAAAAGACATATAATCCATATAAATGAATCAGTGGAAATTAAATTAATCGTCTCCAAGTTCATCAACCTCATCAATTCTTTCGATAGCGGATGGCGTGTAACAAAAAGGTTTGTTACAAGCTTGGATTACTCTTTTTCCTTTACAATTTGTAGATGTATCAGGCTTTTTCTTTTCTTTTCTTTGACTATTTTAGAGCTCACTTATTGTGATTCTGTAGATTCGAGGTCTAAAGGCTTAAAAATAGCTTTTAAAATATTTATTTGTAGTATTTCATAAAAAATCTACAAAACATTTGTTTTACTGTGTGATAATATTGAAAAGTCATGCCTTTTATAATTATGAACAGTATAATAATTAAAGGGAAGGGGAATGGAACTATCTTTTTCTTCAAGCTAGGGTTGTTTGCAGGAATCAAGTCACCAAGGAAGGGAGAAATCGTCAGTGGGTTTTTTATGGTAGTAGTTATATATCAAAGAGTAGGACTTTGATATTTTGGAGTGGATTCATGTTACCAAGTGAAAAGGCTTGTAAACTGAAAATAAATAAAAAACTTAGTTATTTTTTATCTTTACTCCCGACAATCTAAAAACAAGAACCTAGTCATTACGACTTTCAAAACTATGACTATTCTTGATGATACTATTAAACAAACGTTAGAAAAATTAGAACACTCCAAGCCAAAAAAGGAAAAAAAGACTAAAATAATAATTATATATGTCGGTGAGTGGAGAGGAAGAAGCAACTGTTCGGGATATCCAAGTTAACTTACAAGCAGCTAAAGCCATTATTTTTTTCAATTTTCATTATGTTAAAAATGAAGATATTTTTGCTTTTTGAGCCAGTAAAAGGAAATCACTATTAAAATACAAGGAATACACACAAAATCGTTGTATTGCCATGTTTTCAAACCAGTAAACCATTATCTCCTTGTGAGCCAGCTCACACAGAGCTTTATGTTTGAACGTCAGGTTCTAGTAGTGATAATAACATTATATTAGAAAATCAACTTTTATATTTGCTTGAAAATTAACAGGAATTGGATTTATAATATCTGCAGAATGTCTAGCTCATACTTTGGATATTCTATTCTGAAAAATATGCAGAGACCTTTTACAAGTTGTTGTAATGTAATTTTTATTTTAACAAATTAGTCATTAATTTATTTGTAACAACAATGCATATTGAATTGGATTTCATACTCTGGGTATATATACATCATTACATTCTGATCCGGATCAAGTTTATTTAATGAAATGTTATGATCCTCCTTTGATTTTTTGTGGTTTTCTTTTTCATCATCTTGTAGATATAAAGGTCTTTTTAGGTTTTGCTCCTGCAAGTTTGTCATCACATCATTGGTTTCAGCTGGAAGATTGATTCAAATTGCAAGTAAAAAGATAAAAGTGTCTGCAACAATTGAAGGAAAGAAATGAAGACATGTGTCAATTACACATGACAATATCAATGATATCAGCTGAAAAACATAAGATTTAGAGAATGATTATAATAATGAGCAAAGAAGTGAGCCTTAAATGAGAGTAAGTAAATGACTCAAAATGAAAATAATATTCAAAAACTTCAGAAAAAGGTAAAGAAATAGAAAGGTAGACCTGAATAATTAAGCAACAAAACATTATCCAAGAGTTAATTGAGGAAAATATCAAGGTGCAAGCCCAAACAACTCGAGGACAAAGCAAAAGAGAAGAATAAGCTTAACATGAATTCATGAATAATTAAAAAAAGTTTGAAACAAAAAAACAAAATTCGTTTTCGCGGTATTATTGGGGTAGAATTGTTGTTAATAACCTTGAACCCCTGGAATTGCTGTATTCGATTTTTATCATTATTTTATTATTATTATTATCAAATCAAATATATCATTATTCGTAAGAAAAATGACAAAGAAAGAAACTCGCGATGCTGAAAGACTCGAACAAATTAGAACTAGAGTCTTTGTAGAACGAGATCAAGTTTCCAATGTAAATTTCTAAATGTTTTATTTTTTTAGCCATGTAATTAATTCTAAATTTTTCTTTTAAAAAAAAAAATTTTTTAAAAAAAATAAATAAAAGGTATCATCAAGTGATATTCCTTTTCATAGTTCTAACAAATGCTCAATTAATTTTTTCGCAAAATTGATAAAGGTAAATAATTTTTTCTTTTTTCTTTTAATTCTTGATTATAATTCTTAATTAATTAACTAATTATATTGTAGAAGTGTAATGTGAAGGTTGTTAAAAGATCAGAATTTTTTTTGGAATTCGATTTAATTGGTGTTGATGCATCAATAGCAAATGCTTTAAGAAGAATTATGATTGCTGAGGTACTGTTATATATATATATAAGATAAAAATATCCAAACTGATTGAATAATAATAATATAATTATTATTGTTATTATTGTGGTTATTATTAGGTACCCACACTTGCTATTGAAAAAGTGTATATTTATGATAACACGTCAATTATACAAGATGAAGTATTGGCACATAGATTAGGTTTAATACCAATTAAAGCAAATCCCGACGTGTTTAATTATAAAATTGGTAGTCATCATTATTATTGAATATTTTTTACCTGTGGTATATTTTATATTGATTTTCTTCTTTTCCTATTATTAGCATCAGATGATCCAACAGATTTAAATACTGTAGTATTCAAGATTAAACATGAATGTACCTTTAACGCTCAAGCATCAAAAGATGAAACTGACCCCAAAAAATTGTATACCGGGTCAAATTGTAGGTTATGCATGTGATTTTTGAATCAGCAGATTTACTAGTTACTGATTGATAGTTTCTTTTTTTCATTATATTGAAATTTAGTATTGTCAAATTCTTTAATATGGAATCCAAGAGGTGAGCAGGCTACAATATTTGCAAATAATCCATTAAGACCTGTACATGATGATATTCTAATAGCACAATTGAGGCCCAATCAGGTAAAAATGGAATAAATTAAGAAATTGGTTCATTAAAAAAACCATACAATAATAACTATTATTATTATTATTATTATTATAATTGATAATTATTTAATTTCTAGAGAATTGAACTCGAAGCACATTGTGAAAAAGGAATTGGTAAAGAACATGCAAAATGGTCACCTGTAGGTAGGTAAATATATATAACTAGTTATAACAATATGATTTTAAAAATTTTTGACCAAATACATATATATATAATAGCAACAGCAACCTATCGGTTGATGCCAGAAATAATTATGAAAAAAGAAATAACTGGAGATTTGGCTGATAAATTTGCAGCATGTTTTACTAAAGGAGTAGTCAAAGTTGAAAATAAAATAGGTATTTAAGAAAAATTTTTTTTTTGAAAAAATTGTTTTGGGTAACTCTAAATTAATTTTGTCATTTTTTTAAAGTTGAAAAAAAAAATGTAAAGTATGCTAAAGTTGTAAATCCAAGAATTGATACAGTAAGCCGTGAGGTTTTAAGACATAAAGAATTTGAGGATATTGTTCAATTAACGAGAATACGAGATCATTTTATATGTATGAAATTTCTTGAATTTAAAAATATGTTTTCTTTGATTATTTACTTACCCATTTTAAACATATATACGGGTGCTTTTTATATAGTTACAGTCGAATCAACAGGAATTTTAGAATCAGAAAAGATCTTTACTGATGCACTACAAATTTTATCATCAAAATGTACAAGATTATTAGAAGCATTAGAATGTAAATTAAAAAAATCAGAAGAAAAAGAAAAAGAAAAGGAAAAACAACGCCAATTACATATTTAATTAATTAATCAAATAAAAAATTATAAGTGTAAATGAATTTACCTAATAATTATTAATTTTTTATAGTTTTCTTTCTGTGAGCCAACACTGTAATAACCATACAAGATACTACGAATCCTATAAATTTAAAAAAAGCTGAACGAGATATTTGTTGTTCTTCTTCTGGCGTTCTAAATGATGAAAAAATTCTTCTCAAGTCAGGAAATGGCATTATTATTTATCTGTCATATATATGAACAATTATTTTGTATTTAAAAATAATTTTTTCTGACCAAATGGTTTTTTTATCTCGAAATTGATAACACGATTTTTTATTGTTTTGTGTAACTGAATCTCTTATTGAGACGTAATTTAGTAAGATGATGTACAGTATTTGGGATACATTAATATTAATTTTTACTATCGATTAAAAAAATTGAAAGCTAAACCACTTAACGTTAATAAATCATGTGGCTTATCATGAAATGCATAAACTACCAAAACGCAAATAATATGAAGAAGATGGTGATGGTGAATAACACATGGTGAATACGTCAGAAGAGATTGAAGTGGTAAAAAACTTGACATAAAATATAGGATGTTGAATCAATTTCACCATCATGAGGTTCTAAAAAGGATGATAACTATCATTTTTATAATAAAGAAACACTACCTGAATAATACATGTAATATTTTTGATGGCAGCAATACCAAAACTATAATAATGATTTTATATTTGCTATAAAAAAACTGAAGGAATTGATTGACAAGCCAATTCATAATGTGAAGATACACAATGTTTACGTTGTGAGATCTTTGCCTGTATGTTTTTCTAAATTTATAACATTCTTTTTCAATTCAGTGACTTCCTTTTCCCATTCCAAAAGAGAATGATTGTTTATGCAGAGATAATGTTAAAAAAATATATGTGCAAGATTAATCATTTATTGAAATGAATAATTTTTCATCAGCCAAAGGAGAAAAAAGAAATTAACCGAAGTTCAGCCTAATTTTCAAAAGCGAATAGAAGAACTAAAAGCTAATAATGCCACTTTACTGATTTAGCAACTCAATTAGAAAATAAACAACAAGAAGTGGCAAAATTTCACAAGGAAATTGCCAGCCAAAAGGAAAGCAAGAATTATTTACAGGGATTGTTGAATAGTTTACTTGGTGGGTTAGTTGGCTATGCAGGAAATGGCAAAAATGTTTCGGAACAAGAAGTTAAAGAAATAGTGAAAGAGGTGAATAATTTGCGGGAACAGGTTGGTTTGAGTTATCCAAAAGATTAGGAGACTTTGAAGGCTGAAAAGGATAAACTAATCCAGGAAATAACGCTCGTTAAAAATGAAAGAGACAAAACAATTAGGGAAAGAATCGATTGAAAGAAGCAAAGTGAAAGGCAAGAAAAGAGACGACATTTTCTTTACCCCTATGACGATCTACTAAATAAATCAAGGAAGTCAAAGCTTTAGTCTCAAAATATGCAAATAATTAGCTCAAGAAAAAAATATAAAATTAATCCAGTCTCTATCAGCTACATTAGCAGCAAACAACCTTATGTTTGAGCCATAATATGGCGAAGCAATATAACACGCACAATATTATTTTCAAGTATCACCGAGTTGCAAGCGACTTTATTCTTGATTTTGATTTTTTTTTTCGTCTATATTTTTTTCTTTGCACTTTTATTTCTTGTTAGGTTTGGGCATAAAGGTTTTTTTTTGATTGTTCAAATAAATAATAATCCAATATTTGAGACTTGAGAACAGTTCATTTATCAACAGGAAACAACTTCGTATGAATTTTTGCTTCCCGCCATCAATTCTGCACACAAAATTTTGTAAACGATTCTTCTAATTGAATAACCGATAAGAAGATAATGAGCTTTCTCTTAAACATTCATGCGAACAAATTTCATTTACGAAATGTTCTAACTTTGCAAGGAGAAATCACAGGAATATGTATTAATATCATTGCAAAGAGTAATATTCAGGGTTCAAAATGATATTATCCATATCCATCCAGGTATTAATTCATGCACAGTACTGCCATTGGAAAGTGTTTGATCAAGTTTGATAAGGATGCAGAATATGAAATAGAAGTTTGAAATTTACAAAACATCAAATGGCAAACTTATAGAGTTTTAGGTTGTACGAACAAATAAATTAAAGTCATGTGATAATCACGACTTAAATTAAATCAAGACCTCAACATTGACATCAACGATAACCTTAACGGCAATATCAATCCTATTTCATGAAGAAGCCTTGTGTTCAATATATGTAATTATGAAATTCAATCATTAGCGAGTCTATTGGCCTGAATGAGCATACTCTAACCATCGTTTGCTTTTTCTCTTCTCTCATCTAATCTTAGATCATCCAATCATTTCTACTTCACTTGCTTGTCTTACATTTCATCTATCGAATTATTAAGTTCGCATTTAATTTTATCAATAGTAATGCGTATGACATGACTCAATAAATTCAAACTATTGACAATTCAGTGACAGCACCATTACACATCACAACGAGTAACGTACAACTTCAACAACTATGGTGATCGCTTATAACAATACCAACACCTTATCGGTATTTTTACGGGCCTTTATTTGTTTGTAAACTACAAAATATTGATCATTTATTCAATGGATCGAGGTGAATTCGCAGTGAAAGAGAGTCTAGGTTCGATTTTTCCTCCACATAAATATAGGCTATTGCAAAATTCTTACTTCAGGAAACATTTGAATGTGATTGTGTGCCTGGAGACTATATCTAGACTTTGATCTCCTTGTATTTACTTAACAAACCATCATTGTCATTGTTAATGGCGATGATGGTAGTAGTAGTTAGTTGGTGGTGGTAATAGCAGTCAGTGGGTGGTCATAGCAATGATTGTGATTAGTTAATAGTTATTTTTTTAAAAAGTATTATTTGGAATTGAAAACATTATAATTGGTAACAATGGAATTTTTTTAATTACTTACAAAATATTTTGGATATTAAGGAGATATCTTTGACAGCAATACAAAAATAAGCATAGAGTTATGAGAATATTTTTAGATATAGCTATTATTGTTGTTGTTATTATTAAACTTTGCCAATGTTAATTAATATTTACATTGATGTTAAATATAAATATCACAAATATATAATAAAACAAAAACAATTGAATTGATAAAAAATCTCTGTATTGATGAATATATATATTTATATTTAGGCAACCATAGTAAAGTTATTTTCATATTCCAGGAGATAATGAGCACTATATATTATTAAATGAAGAAAAAATTTTTTTTTGAGGATCCTTTGTGCTGATGATCAAACTTTCTTATTAATAGATATTTTCCAGGAAGAATACAAGTCTGGGAATTATCTTCACAATGTCCTTTGTAATGTTTTGCAAAGTCTTGAGGAAAAACTCACTCAACTAGTGGAAATTAACTGTATAATGACTTCCCTAAGACTGCCATAGATAATGGTTAAATTCTTCCTGAACTAGAGCTAGATGAAGAAGTGGAATCTAGAATTGAGACGAATTGGAATTGGATACAAGACTACAGATAAGCTTGATCAGTGTTGCTATGACTCAATATGGTGACAACATTATTGATATTAAGAAAATTTTTGGCAAAGATAGCAACAAGTTTCTATTCAATTTGAATAGAAGAAAATTTTTAATTTTTATTCCTTCAAAAAAAAAGTTACAAATTGTTTATAATAAATAAATATAAATTCTTGTTTATTATTGTTGTTCTTGTATGAATGAAACACCTTTATTAATATTTGCTCTTAATTCAGGAATTGCAGCATTGAGAAGAGTCTTTTCATATTCAGAAATATCACCGATTGGATAAATTTTTGAAATACCATTTGGCTAAAAAGAAAGTTTATAAATCATAAATAAGGAATTATAAATGCTATAAACATATATATATATATATATATATATATATATATATATACATGTTTTTTAAAAAAAAAAATTTTTCACTTACACCTAATTCAATATTTGAAGAAAAATATTCTAAACCATCAATTTTATCCTTGAGGTGAATTTTATTAATATTGACATAAGCTTGTACAACTATACCAGTTTTACCCTTTATAGTTGCATCGAAAATATAAGATGCAAATACAGCACCAGCATGAGCCATAGAAAGTGTGGCAGATCCTGTACCATCTTTTGCTTTAACAACTTCATCACCACCTAATAATAGCAATGATCATTTTTAATAATAATAATATCTAACTTTGAGCTACCAAAAAATCCCTCCCAATTATATTACCAAATTGAATACGCTTTGTTAATGAGGCAATTTGTTCTTGAGTGAATTTGTGAGATGGCGAGACTTGAGATAAAAGTGGAATAATTGTGACACCACTATGACCACCAACCACAGGAACACGAATTTCACGAGGGTCAGCACCTGAAATTGAACTGATGAAAGTGGAAGCACGGACTATATCAAGTGTGGTTACTCCATAAAGTCTTTTTGGATCAAATACATTATATTTCTTTAACACTTCTGCAACAATTGGAACTGTGGAATTTACTGGGTTGGAAATGACAAGAATGAAAGCTTTTGGTGCATATTTAGCAATATCTGTTGCTAATTTTTGAACTATCCCTGCATTAATCTGAATTGATATTATTTTGTGATAAATCAAAGAATATTCATAATTACATTAAATATCCTCCATAATATAATTAATATAATTAATACCTTAAATAAATCATCTCTTGTCATTCCAGGTTTTCTAGGAACGCCAGCAGGAATAATTATAGTGTGTGCATTGGTCAATGCATTTTTTAGTCCATCATCATTTGGCAAGTATCCTTGAACTTTTGCTGGTGTGTTAATATGACTCAAGTCAGCAGCCACACCAGGAGTATTTACAATATCATAAAGTGCAAGTTCTGTTACAGCTTCGTTAAGTTTAAGAAGTAAAGAGAGAGGTTGTCCAATACCGCCAGAAGCACCAAGTACAGCTACTTTAACCATTATTATTATTATTTAATTTTTATTTTTTTCGTTATAAAGTTTATTGAAAATTAAATGGGATAAAAAAAAAAGTGCTCTTATATATTAATTTAATGAAGACTTTTCTGTTTTGATAGGATTTGCTTGTTACACCATCCAAATAAAACTTAATAAAAGAGTTTTTTTAATCTTCAGTTTATTTTTATGATTATCTGCTTTGTTTGTGTAATTGATTATTATTTTGAGATTTCAATCTCCACTAATATTTTTTAAAAAACTTTTTTTTATCTAAAGGTCTTCTATCAACTTCCGATCAATCAATTAAGCATAATAAACAAATAATACAAGAGAAAAAGAACAAAACTATTGCTATATCTAATCATGCGTGACATTTAAACTGGTTCCTTATCTTTGCCAAATCCATTAATATTAACACTAATATTAAATTCCGATTGATTGATTAATTCATTTATTCTATATTGAATTTATTTAAAAAAGGAGATCCAACATATACAATCAAATAAATATAAGTCTCGCGCTTCACTCTTTTATTTTTAGAAACAAACCTATTATATAGCTAACCTAACAACAAATTATGGATCCATTTTCCCAAAAAATGTCTCTAACAATATCAGAATTACTTTACCACCTCCAACAACTTTACAAAATAATAATAATAGCACTCTATCAAGATTTGATGATTCACTAAACAACTTGCCCATTATTCTTCGATATCTTCTGCTTTTAACAATAATAATTCTATGTTTCCTTAAACAATCATCTCTTGTACTAAATAGTAATATTAAGAATAATAGAGGAGTTGAACAGCCATCTATTGAAAGTTTGAGTCATAATGGTCATAGCAATTTCATATCCCCTCAACATCAATTTGATAAATCCAGATGAAAAGTTTGGTTACATTATTATAATTATTCATATTTAAAGAAGAAATTCTAAAGAATAAGGTATTTCTAAAATATATAATTTATATTTTCTAATCCATTCATATAAGTGATCTAATGCATATATCTTTTGTTGAATTATTATTAGCATTATTATTCATCAACGTTATTATTTTCAACATTATTATCAACATAATTATTATCAACATTATTATCATTATTATCAACCGGAATATAATTGTCAACTGAAAAATTAGTGATTTCTTCATATTCTCTGTAATCATCATCATTCTTTGTTGTAAGAGTTTAAAAAAGCAAAACATTTGACAAAAACAACTTATAAAGTCAATATGAAAGTCTTCTTGAAAGCTTGCTTATCATATAAAAGCTTGAGGCTTTCAAA